TTCCCTGAAGACCCAATCTCCCCCAGGGGTTGGTTATTATACATAAATTACTATTTCTCTTATTATCCTTAAGAAGACAAGCAACTAGTCAACAGCTGTTTCTGATCATGCTTTTCTTTTAAAACAGCTGAGCACTGACATTTGTCGGGTTTCTAAATATGACTAAAGATTTCCTTTAAAATCATGAGTGATTTGTAAGCGAAACTAAAAACCACTGATGAAAATGTGCTGCATTCAAACAAGTAGGCTGATTATAACAAATAAAATATGTGACAATTCTTGTGTGTATCTGTTGAAAGAATTTATTTGCTAACTGATGATGATTTAGATTAATTTTGCATCATATGAAATTAGGCACAGGGAAAGTCTAATTTACAAACATGACCAAATGCCTCTACTGATGTAGTCATAATCAACAGGAATTTTTAACTAAATCAGTTTCTGTCTATACTTGATGGAGTCTTGAACCAAAACCTTGGATCTGAACAAACCTCAGTTGTGGAGGTGTTCCAAATATCAGTCCAGATCCAGACATAAAATTTGCAAACAATCCCCCTTTTTAAAAAAAATAGTGGCAGAACCAAAACCCTGGATCCCAACATCCAACCTTGGGTAGAACTTGGTTGGAACTTTGTGACTTAGACCTACTGCTTGGCCACATATTGAGGGTATAACAGATCCCTCTCTTTTTATGTTCTTTACATAATGACAGTGCATGGAACCATTTATCTACGTACAGCTGCAGCTAACATGGTAGGCATGTAAGCAACCAGAAGGGGGCAGCCATGATTAACCAGAACAAAGTATATGCCAAATTAAAATAACCACCAAACAATTTAGAGGCGATTTAGTTTTGTTATTCTTAATAATTCTTCATATACTGTACCCAGGCTTCTAGTGGGTTTTAAATAAGTTACACTGGAAAATTGCACTAAAGAATTACATAAACAAGAGACAAACCCAAGTATAAGATGCCACTATGGCTGTTTTTAAAATGAGAGTTAAAGCATAATCAACCCTAGATGTCAATTCTAGTGTTCTTAATGATGTGAGCCAGATTTAATTTTCTCTGAGGAGGAGTATGTGAGTTACCTGCAAACACTGAACTCAGACAGCTGCTTTTAAAAATTCCTTATTGTTATATTTTAGCTTAAAGGATAGAGTGAGGTATAGCCAGAACAAACTGAAAACCTTGATGAGTTATATTGCATAGGTTTGAGTCAGCTTGCAAGATCAGTGTGGTGACTTGTATATTTTTCTTTCGGTTCGAGCATACATTATATTCCTCTGTGATATGCCTTGTAACAGTTAGTCATATACAGATCTCAATGCTGTAAACAAGCATATGCTTAACTTTGCTCGCACAAGTAGTCCCAGTCCCACTGAATCCGGAGAGACTGAGTGGAAGTGTTTGCAGGATCGGGCCCACAGTGTATCACATGTTTATTTTATAGTCTATTCTTTATAGCAGAGTCCCTGGATGGATTGTCTAGGTCAGCAGTTCCCAATCTATGGGTCATGAGTCATGACCCCACCCGGGGTCATGCCAAAATGGTGGCCTCCATGCTGTCTGGAGTTGCGGAAAGCAACAAAGTCTGGAAATGGGATTATGCAGACAAAAAGTTTGGGAACCAGTGATCTAGGACCTGATCCTGCCTCCCTGAGGTCCATGGAAGCTTTGCCATTGACAGGGTTACCAACTCTCATGGTCTTATTTCAAGTCTCAACATACTTGGTGTAATTCATGAAACCTCAGCTGCTGGAATCAAGAGATTGCATGAGAAACTCATCTTTCATGAAAAAAGCTGGAAATTTCTAGCCCTCACGGGTTGCAGAGAAAAGTTTGAAAGTGTGAAACAAGGGTACCCTAAAATCTCAGAAATCAGAAGGCAAAGAAAAAGAACCCCGAAGATATTATTTTTAAAAATCTCCTGATTTTTAAGGCAATAATGATCTTTTGGGAGCTTCAGCTCATGATTTCTGAACTGTTGAGGTTGGCAATAATGCGACTGACTTCACTCTCTGAAGGATCAAGCACCTAGTTCCTGTAGCCTTCAGCTCTGAACCTGCAACCACTTACGCACATGCATAACTTTTCCCAGGAGAGTTCAATGGGTCTATTTGTGTGCAAAATTACTCGTGTGCAAGTGACTGCACGGTGGCAGCAAGAGAGGATTTCCATTTCAGTTACATGAGCCTTTTGGCTATTAGATTTTTAAATAAGTCTCTTTTTTTTGCCCATTAGTTTGGTCCAAGCTGAGGGACTCTAATATAAGTAAGTTTGGGTTATGTCGGTTGTGTGCGTTCTGCCTTTGGAATCTCCTCCCCCAAGTGTTTTATTACATCATGCAGTTAGTAAGCAGAAGTGTGCCAGTCCCCAGCATCTGTGACTAAGTTTGATGCCCGCAGCAGAAAAGAGAGAATGGCAGTGAAATGTTCAGTGAATTGTAGTGCCTGTGAAAGGAAATTATTGAAAAGGTGGCCTTGTCTATACTGGGGATTTGCCTTGATTTCAGCTCCCAGCGTAGCTACGCCAGTGCAAACTCCTAGTGTAGACAGGCAAAGACTCTATGAGCCATAATTTGCGCCTGTGCATTTTACAACCATTTCAGTTAGGGGTAAACTCTCCCAGTGCAAAGAGAGGCTTTGCGTTCTACACTAGAGGTTTGCACTGCTGCAGTTACATTGGTGGCTAGCCACCAATGGCTGAAATTGGGGCAAATTCCCAGTGTGGACAAGGACTAAGAGGGCCAGCAAAACTTTCAAATGGTGGCGGCGGCGTTCTGATGTGGAAACCTATTTATTAAAAAGCTGTTAAATGACAGCTCTCAGTCATAGCTAATCTGGGGCTGGATTCAAGCCAAGCTACATGAGAAATGCTTCATCTTCTATTACCAATATCATGGATCATCTAGTCTGCATGCATCTGCTCTTTCTGTTAGTGTCCAATGTCCATGAAATAGGATTTTCTGTCATATTGATTAGGAACAGTAGGTCAGCTGTGGGCTATTTTTAAAAAGTAGGAAAAATTTTATGCTGAAGTATACTTTTGTTATGGTTCTGTGCTACTCCTAGGTAAATCTATATGCTATATTTTCCGTGGGGATGTTAACTTTTGAGGAGATATGGTTTGAAAAGGTCACCAACGTTCTTCATCTTGTGGGTTTTGTATTTTCCTTGCAAATAAAGATATGTGGAACCATAGAATCATGGAAGTGTAGGATTGAAAGGGACCTCAATAGGTCTTCTAGTCCAGTCCCCTGCACTCAAGGCAGGACTACATTACTAGACCATTCTTGACAGGTGTTTGTCTAACCTGTTCTTAAAAACCTCCACTGACAGAGATTCCACAACCTCCCTAGGCAATTTGTTCCAGTGCTCACCTACTCTGACAGGAAGATTTTCCTAATGTCCAACCTAAACCTCCCTTGCTGCAATTTAAGCCCATTGCTTCTTGTCCTATCCTGTAACAAGAACAATTTTTGAGCAGTCTCTTAAACAAAAGTAATTTTCAGATTCTGAGAGACATAGGCTATAGATTTCCCTTTGCTTCATATTATTACCAATAACAATAAAACTTCATTATCAGTCTGATCCTGATGTATCAATATTTTCTTAAGAGGTAAACAATTGCTTTAGTATTTGATTAATTCTGACTTGCAATTTGATAGTATGGTATTTGTAGTCAAGTGAACACTAAAGAAACTCGAAGACTTAATGTGATACCATTCAAGCTCTCTTGAAGTTCCTATCTACACTGGATATTTTCTTTTAAATTTCCCACTGTTGTTACCACCAGTTCAGCTTCACTAGTGAGACCAAAGCTGGGAATGCTAGTATAGACAGGCCACCAGAGCTTTAACCCCTGGCTCTGAACTGGTGTAGATAACACAGTGGTTAAAATACAGATGGCTGGTGTTGACTTATTGCCTATATGTTATACAGGAATTTAAATGGCATCAGATACAGGTTTTTGGTTTCTTTAGTATTTGCTTGGTTACAAATACTGTACTTTCAAACTGCAAGCCTTATTCAAGATTTTTGTTATGACTTGAATACCTTTCAGCAGGTTGTTGGTCATCGGGCAAATTTTTCAGTCAATACATAGAAGTTCTTGCCAGATCCAAAGATATGAGCTATGTTCACCAATCCTAATACTAATATTTCTATTTTTTTCTGGGAGGAGGTATTAAAATGATCGCTGTAGAATAAAGGAGAAATGGTAGGGTTCTTTGGCTGTGGGTAAGTTTAATATTATTATGTAAGCGGAGAGCTTAATGTCCTCGAAAGAGATTTGCCTACTTCTGACCTTCTTTAGACAGTGCTCACGTCCAGAGATGGGAAATGTGCAGCCTGTCTGTCAGTCCAGTAGATGCCTCAAGTGAGGTACCTAAATCCATAGTTAGGCATCTGAATACAGGTGGCATGATATTCAGTGGTGCGAATGCCTAACTGGATTTGAGGAACCTCACTTGTAGACACCCAGGCTTGAAAGTTTTCTTCCACGTCTCAAATTCTTCTACAAGTTATCAAAAAGTCTGGCATTACATCTGAGGGAACGGAAAATAACCCCGGCAGTTACTGTAGACAAGGAAACCAGCAAACTGCTGAACTTCAAAAATAAAGTCATGTTTTCTCCTAATTTAATCTGGGGCAGACACATCCTCCCCCACCCCTGGAAACCCCCAAACACCTTCCCCCTCCACACTATTGAGGAATCCACAGAAAGCCCTAAAATGGTCCTTATTGAAGCTTTGCAAGAGTTCTGCCCCAAGCATACTTCTCCCATTATGTCACTGTAGTTGTATTTTACAAGTTAAAACCTGCGATTTTCTAAACAATTTATGAAAAAAGCCTAACTACAGGTTGCAAAATCAGGCTGAGAGAGGAGATAAGACTGTCCTCCCACTTCTGCAACTCTCACGGTACCTAGCAATCTGCAGTATTAAAGCCATGGAAAGAATCTTTGCAACCAGCATTTAAACATCAGATCAACTTACTTTTTAAGTCTCCAACTTGACACACTGGATCTGCTCACTGTTTTCACCCTTAGAAGTCAGTGAAAGATTTTGGGGAAGTCTTAAGTTCAGTATTTTCTTCACAGATCTGTCTGGAGCTGGCTTCGGTACCAAGCTGGTTAAACCAGAGCGTATGCTAAGAGCACACAGACTATTTGCATTTTCTTTGGTCGTTTAAGAAACCCTTTGTAA